CAGGCCTGACCACATTTGAGCAGTGCTTCTAGAACATTCTGAGTCCCACGTCAGGATGCCTGAATACGTCTCCATCTGCAGCCACTCTGAGAGGACTTCTTTTGGCCAGACAAGTCTTACTTCTACTTCTTGCAGGCTGGCCCCCCAGTGAACAGCAGTGGTTAGGGTGGGGATGGTGGAGATGACTTGTCTGGGCTTTTAGGAAAGTGGACACAGGATGGAGTCCCCATGAGGGCCATGGAGAAGGCTGCGACTCCCAGGAGGAGGTGAGGCTCAGGAGCAGGAGCAGGGCCACAGGAAGTGGTAACAGTGCCAATAAGACAGGGGAAGGACTGTGGCACTGAACGCTGTTTTCATGAGACTTCCCTCTGACCACTGTCAATCAGGCACCGCCTGATTGGATGGATCCTAAAACCCAGCAGGGAAATAGACACTAGGAAAAGCTAGTTGAGAGCTTTACTAAGAATTTTCCTGCTGGCGCTGTGGCTCAATAGGCTAATCCTCCACCTTGCGGCACCAGCACACCGGGTTCTAGTCCCGGTTGGGGCGCCGGATCCTGTCCCGGTTGCCCCTCTTCCAGTCCAGCTCTCTGCTGTGGCCTGGGAGTGCAGTGGAGGATGGCCCAAGTGCTTGGGCCCTGCACCCCATGGGAGACCAGGAGAAGCACCTGGCTCCTGCCTTCGGATCAGTGCAATGCGCCGGCTGCGGCAGCCATTGGAGGGTGAACCAACGGCAAAAAGGAAGACCTTTCTCTCTGTCTCTCTCTCTCTGTCCACTCTGCCTGTTAAAAGAAAAAAAAAAAAAGAATTTTCCCCACTGACCTCCACAGGGCCAATACTACCTTGTGTAACAGGGTCTTTAGATCACATTTTCCAAGTACCTTTAAGTTCTAGACTAGCTAAGGTTAAAATTCATCCCTGAAATTTCATTCATACCAAACCTGACATTAGGTAAATGCCCTCCAGGCTACTTTCAGCCCAAGGATTCTAGGCTGTGCTCTATAAATATCTTATGTGCATTGTCCTCCCCAGTGCCTGTCTCCGTTGGCATTTCAGAGGAGTGGAGGAGATAAGAACTTCCATATCCACAGGGAAAGAAGTTTTCCCAACATAGTCTGTGATAATGGCATATCATTGTACAGTTATGATGACTGGATTATGCATTCACCTCCTTGGGCGATAAAGATATTGGTGGTTCATTGTTTAACTGAAACATTTAATCACTTAAAGTCTTAGTAGTGGAAAATTCTAGGCCAAAAATTCTGTGCTATTCCACTCTATGTCATGGAAATGATGATAATGATGAAATGAGCTAATTTGTCAACGAACAGCAGCAACTGTTGGAAACACAACCAACTCTAACAGTGGCAACAAAGGTCTCATAAAAATTTGAAGACCCATGGGCAAAACTGTGAAGGCTTGTGTGAAAGCGCAAACTCTTAACATAACACTCAGAGTCCTAAAAATACTTCATTGACATCTTAATTTTAGTTTATCCATAATCAACTGTAGTAAACAAAATGGTTGTAGGGTGCTATTCTGCTGTCTTTAGTCTTATATTAAAATAAAATTCTATGTAACTACATGACATGTGTCTAGAAGAATCAATACAATAAAATAAAGAATAAATAAAGTATGTTTTGCTTATCAAAATCAGCTTACGTTGGGTGGGTATTTGGCATAGTGGTTAAGATGCCACTTAGGATACTCTTATTCCCATATTTGAGTGCCTGAGTTCAAGTCTCAGCTCTGTTCTTGGTCCAGCTTCTAGCTAGTGTGTGAGATGGGAGGCAGCAAGTGATGGCTTAAGAGGGGTTCCTGCCACCCACACAGGAGACCTGGATTGCTTTCCTAGCTGCTGGCTTGGGCAAGGCCCAGCCCCAGTACTTGCTGGCATTTGGGGAATAAACCAATGGAAGGGAGCCCTCTCACAGTCTGTCTGTCCTTCCGATCAGCTTCTGACCACCATGAGCCAAGGACTCTCCTCAGAGGATCCGTGAGACAGAGGGAGGTGAGCTCTCAGCCAGCCCTGAGCTTGAGTTCTGGCATGTGGCGAGCGCTTTGGCTAACTGGAGGAGGCTTCCCTGTGCCGAATTTGTACACCTCTGGTGAAGGGAAGGAGATTCTTGGCAGCTCCCCTGTCTCAGACCTTTTCTTTCCTTCGGTCCCCAAAACTCTGCACTGCTCAAATGCGTAAGATCCTTTTTTGAGAAGCAAATCAATATGGCATTTTGCTGCCAATAAGCTTCAGCCCTTAGTGGCTGTTTCTGACTTACATGGCTTAGTTTTTGTTCTCAGAATTAAAATCTCCAAGTGAGTCAGGCCCCTTGCAGATGCCGGCAGGGCTTTCTCCTCCCAATCTCTCCCCCGGCCTTTTAAAGGAAGCTTCTGGAAGTAAAACAGTTAAGTCACAGACGAGGCCACAACAATCTTTGAAGTTTACTTCCCCATCATTAAATGAGGAAGCAAGATTCCCCAGGGCTCCCCGGCTCCCACCTCCTGAAACCTAAGCGTGAGCGTCTACAAGCTTCCAGGGAGCAACGCTAAGTAGATTAAGCTGCCACACCAACTGAGACTGATTTAAAATATTTGGGGCTCTGTTATCACAGCAACACAATTCTGTGTAAATGCCTTGAAGAAAAAAAATTCCTCTCCGTGGGTTTGTTAAAGCACAAGCTTAACTTGAATGGCAAAGCAAGGAACATTTAATTTTCATTAGGAAGATACTAAAAAAGATATTTAAAATCTCATGTTCTGGATTTTTTGAGATTAGTCCTAGAGCAAGCTAAAGCTTTCTCTCTTTGGGGGCCTTGGGGTCTTTAATTGCACTGATCTCTTCTGAACTTTCGGGTTTGACAATTCCTGTCATGGTGGCAGAATGGCCACTTGGAAATGTTGGCTTTGCCTATCTGTTTTTTAAATATTTTTTCCTATACAATAAAAATAAGTAATGAACAATTACAATAATAGTAATTGCCACAGTATGATAACATTTTTAAAAAGATTTATTTGAAAGGAAGAGTTACAGAGAGAGAAGGAGAGAAAAGAGTGAGAATGAGATATCTTCCATCTGTTGGTTCACTCCCCATGTGTCAGCAACAGCCAGGGTCCGGCCTGCGGGCCATCCCCACATACAGGGATTCTGTGCAGCACCAAGAGGCCTTGCTAGTCTGGGTTTTCTGTGTCTGATGCTGCCTGTACCTCCTACACAGAGCTAGGGACACCTCAGAACACGGCATTCCCAGAGCTGCTTCTGCACAAAGCAAATGTAACCACAGTGGGTACCAACCAGTGTCTGTTTTGTCTCAGGGGCTCCCTGCAGTGGGGCCAAAGACACCATGCTGGCGAAAAAACTTCAAGGTGGGGGCAGGCATTTGGCCCAGTGGCTAAGATACTGATTAGGACCTGAGTATCCCATATTGGAATATCTGGGTTTGACTCCCTGCTCCAGTTTCCTGCACATCCTGAGAGGTAGTGGGTGATGGCTCAAGTATTTGAGTTCTTGCTGCACACATCAGAGACCCGGATTGAGCTTCTGATTTGTAGTTCCTAGCTGCTGGCCTCAGCCTGGTCCAGTCCCAGGCATTTGCAGAGTGAATTAGCAGATGGCTGTGTGCGCTCTCTCTACCTCTCACATAAAGGAAAACAAAACAAAGCAAACAACAGAAATTCCTCAAAGGTTATTTCCTGGGGCTCAGAAGGCAATTTGGAGAGAAGGACACTTAAGAGTGCTCTGTGCCCTGGCAGCCATGTATGCACTAACAAGAGTTTTCCAAGGTGACCATGGTAGAGATGACAGCCTTGTTTGGAAGCTGCCTCGAGACTAGGAAGGAGTTGATCTTTGGAGAGAAATGTGGAATTGGGGAGAAGTGACTGGAAAGGCATGGGGGGAGTTTTCTGGGATGATGAAAATTCTCCTTATAATGTGCTTTTATTGTGTGCAAATGATACCGCAATTAAAACAACTAAAAATCCAGCCCCAGAACTTCATGTCCAGTGACCACAGTGAGGTGATGATGGGAGTATTGCTGATCTCACAGATTCATCTACTTTATACTTTCAGGTACACAAAGCCACTTGATGCTGCACAGCACTGGGAGAAAATGATACTGCCTTGATGAGATGCCCAGAATTTCCCCAACTCCCCCGTGACCCAACCTAGGGGTGAGTTACCCCCTCACAGGTGAGATTTGTGCCCTTGTAAGGAGACAAAGAGACTGTGCTGTCTGTCACATGAGGACACAGCAAGCATGCAGCAGTGTGGAAGCTGGGAGGAGGGGTCTCTCCAGGCACCGGGTCCGCGGGCTCCTTGATTCTGGATTTCCAAGAACCCAGAACTGTGAGGAATAAACCCTATTGTCTAAGCACCTGTCTGTAGCACCTCATTCTAGCACCCGAATGGACTGTGCCGGAGGGTTCCAAGAGGTCATGGATAGCAAAGTGCTCAGAACTGTGCCCGACACCTGAGCGCAATCCATACCTGGTTGTCACTGTTATGGTAAAAGTCTCATTAGCATGGAGACAGATTATAAAAGTTTAAGAAGAACGCTTCTCCCTCAGAGTTTTAGTAACTTAATAATGTATACAGCAGGAGTCTCCTGGCCCCACGGGCCAACCAGTAGAAGAACACGCCCAGCAAGGTAGATGTGCTTGGAATAGTGAGTCACTCTGGTTTCTTTGGAAACATCTACCTTATCCCTTCTTCCCCAGGAAAAACAAGGCACTTGCAACCCTTAAATGGCCCTAGAAGTCACTTCCTCGTTCAGCCAATCTCCCACTGTGGCTTCTCTTGCCACTTGGGAATCCTGCACGATGGGCCACTAGGTGAGTGCCCTTGCGGACAGCCTGATGCTCCCTGCAGCTCCAACAGAATCTTTTAAATCTAGCTGGACATATTACGAAACTGGAGTTGAAGGTTTAGTCAAGGAAAGAACAGAAGCCATGACCTCAGTCTAGCAAAACAACCACCGCTGTGAGCCCACAGCCCGCTCCAAGTCTTACCTTCATACAGCCAGTCGCTGAGGCCATTGTAAATGACACCCTCCTTCCCCGTGGAGACCACTCGGATGGCCTGTTTCCCGACGTGTGCGCAGTAGTAGATATTGTTTTCAAATATAAATATCTAATTTGGACAGAAGGAAAAAACATAGCATTAACAAAGGAAATGTGTGTTAAGAAGGGTGCTCTTAAAAACCTGAAGTCATCAATGCTGTGTTCATCTTCCTATTGTACTCACCTGACAGAACATAGGTCTTCTCAGCATTGTTCAAGGTTTACCTGCCTCCAACATCATCCACATTTAAGGATAGATCAGAAACTCCAACTCTGCAGGGTCCACCCAACACGACCATTTACCACAACTGGATCATGTGTGGTCTGAAGCTTTTGGGCTCATTAGCATCAAATCGGATTGAGTATTTTAAGCAATCATGTTTTTCCTGGCAATTCAGATGAGTAGGCTGGGAAATTGGAAATCTGAATTTTATTCAGTCAGTGCTCCTTAAGAATTCTGTATCAGGTACCTGCTCTGTGCCAATCACAGGGGGCAAGGTGAACAAGGTGGGAATTATCATCTGGCCAAAGAAGAGAAATTGCACAGGCCACTGAAAGGGAGGCACGTGGGGTCTGGAAACACGTAGCAGGGTCACCCAAGGGTAGGCAAGGTGTCCACCAAAAAAGTAGTTTAAAAAAATTCATTGTGATACAAGCTACATGACACCACATTGACCACTTCAATCCTTTCCCGTGGCATTAAGCAGATTCACATGTTGTTTGTTTGTTTTGACAGGCAGAGTGGATAGTGAGAGAGAGAGACAGAGAGAAAGGTCTTCCTTTTGCCGTTGGTTCACCCTCCAATGGCCACCACGGCTGGCACACTGCAGCCGGCGCACCGCACTGATCCGAAGGCAGGAGCCAGGTACTTCTCCTGGTCTCCCATGGGGTGCAGGGCCCAAGCACTTGGGCCATCCCCCACTGCACTCCTGGGCCACAGCAGAGAGCTGGCCTGGAAGAAGGGCAACCAGGACAGAATCCGGCGCCCCGACCAGGACTAGAACCTGGTGCCGCTGGTGGAGGATTAGCCTAGTGAGCCGCGGCAGCGGCCAAAGCAGATTCACATGTAAAATAGCCACCAACACCCTCCATCTCCAGAACTCTCTCAACTGAAATGTCATCCTCATTAAATACCAAGTCCTGTCCCCCAGCACCCACTGCTCTACTTCCTGTGTCTGTGGATTGTCTATTCTAGAGACTTCAAGCAAGTGGATTATTAAGCACTTGTCCCTTTTGTGTTTGGCAATGTCACCCAACACCCGTCCTCAGGGTTCAACCATGAGGCATCGCATGTCAGAGTGTCAAGAAGATGGTTTTTGAGCTGAGACCCGAATGTCGGGGACTTTGGAAGAGGAACTAAGAGCACCCAGGTGGAAGAGTTGCCAGAACTCCAGCGTCCACAGTCAGCAAGGTGCTGGGAGGACCTGAAACAGTGCTCCCTGTGCACTGACCCATCAGAGGCAGGAAAGGATGCCTGAGAAGGGTCCAGGAGCCAGCTCGCAGAGGACGGCCTTGGCCCCGAGCTGAGCAGGGGCCATTGTGATCCGATGATGAGTCTAGAGGCAGCGTGGCCATGAGGAGACAGACCCTGAATGGGGGGATCTGGTTGCAGCCACCTGAGGGGTGCTGATGATGGAAACGTAGAGAGGGGGGCCACCCAGGAAGACAGCTACAAGAACCCACTGACTGTGAAGCTGTAAAACAGAGTGGAATTGTTCTCCAGCTGGCCGTGGTGATGGGACGCATTTGTGGAGCTGGGGAGCAGTGGGAGGTATTACAATCTGAGCGTAGGCATCTTTGCCCTTTCTCTAGGGGAAGGGGGTGGTCCAGGTAGTGGTTCTCAGATTTTGATGAATGTTTGATGACCAGCAGAACATTGAAAAACCATCTTTTTCCAATCCACCAGCCCAACCCAAATGCTCAGAATATCTGGGGGTGGGATCCAGGCATCAACATTCTTAAACACACCAGGAGACGCCAATGTGCAGCCAAATTTAAGAACCAGTGTTCTAGGAACTATCTTGTATCTCCTGAAACTCTTATAAACTATAAATGGGCCTACATGATATCTGGCATTCTCCTAAGCTTTGATCAATTATTTTTTGTGTGTTTTAAGATGTGTTGGAAAAGAGAGATTGGAGGGGGATAGAGAGAGGGAGGGAGGGAGAGAGAGAGGGAGGGAGGGAGAAAGAGAGAGACTTCTACCTGCTAGTCCATTCCTCAAATGGCCACAACACCCTGGTCTGGGCTAGGCTGAAACTAGAAACCAGGAACTCTATCCAGGACTCCCACACGGGTGCCAGGAGCCCAAGTACCTGGGCCATCTCCTGCTGCTTTCCCAGGCACATCAGCAGGAGGCTGGATCCGAAGCAGAGCAGCTGGGCCTGGATCTGGCATGCTAAAATGAGATGCTGGTGTCACAGGCAGTAGCCCAACCTGCTGTACAACAACAAGGTTCCCAGCATTGATCAATTGTGTCCTGCATTTTTTTGTATCAGAATTCTCTGCCTGTATCACTACTGGCACTTCAGGATGCTGGTCAGATCTGCAAATACTCAATGTGGATAGAAATTGGGCTCTGCAGGGGCTGGCCCTGTGGTGCAGGGGGTTAAAGCCTGGGCCTGCAGTGCCAGCATTCCCTTTTGGGCACCAGTTTGAGTCCTCGTTGCTCCTCTTCTAATCCAGCTCTCTGCTATGGCCAGGGAAAGCAGTGAAAGGTAGCCCAAGTGCCTGGGCCCCTGCACCCATGTGGGAGACCCAGAAGAAGCTCCTGGCTCCTGGCTTCGGATCAGTTCAGCTCTGGCTGTTGTGGCCATTTAGGGAGTGAACCGGAGGATGGAAAACCTCTCTGACCCTACCTCTCTCTGTAACTATGTCTTAATAAAATAAATCTTGGCCGGCACCGCGGCTCACTAGGCTAATCCTCCGCCTGTGGTGCTGGCACCCCAGGTTCTAGTCCCGCTCGGGGCGCTGGATTCTGTCCCGGTTGCTCCTCTTCCAGTCCAGCTCTCTGCTGTTGGCCACGGAGTGCAGTGGAGGATGGCCCAAGTACTTGGGCCCTGCACCCGCATGGGAGACCAGGAGAAGCACCTGGCTCCTGGCTTCGGATCGGCACAGCGCGCTGGCCACAACGTGCTGGCAGCTACGGGGTGAGCCAAGGGAAACAGGAAGACCTTTGTGTGTGTGTGTGTGTGTCTCTCTCTAACTCTGCCTGTAAAAAAATAAATAAATAAAATTAAAATAAATCTTAAAAAAAGAAAAAAAGAAGCTGGGCTCTGTAGACCAAGGATAGAAATTGAGCGATTTTTATATTTTGATTCTAGAAAAAATGTTATCAGTGTCATTTAAGAGACTATTGGGAACAGGTATTTGGCACAATACAGGAAGTGGCATGAAATGGAATTTTTTAAATTGAAAACACACAGAAGGCAGTGTTCCCAACCAGCTTCACGGAAGCACGGCTCTGAAAGCACCATCGTGGTAGTGGCAGTGTGAGTTTTCTGCTCGGGCCTCCTGCTCTGAAAGTGTTCACTTCAACCAGAAATGAGCTGGAAAACATCCAGGAACAAGTATACATCCTAATTTAATTCCAGCAGCTCTTCTGACGAGTTTGCCTAAGGGTAAGATGTAGTACTAAATTTCCGTTTCTTTTATGGGTTCTGAGCCTACAATGGATTTTTGAATCAAATCAAACTGTAGTCAATTAATATTTTGAGTAAGTAAAATGTGCTATGATAAGATATTAAGTCCTTTTTCACCTTGGCTTTATTTTTAATGGAAGGGAAATGAAAGAACAAGCTATAAAGAAGAGTGCAATTTGCTTTGAAGATGTTTCTCGCTTTCCTTTCGGCATTCAGATTAAGATATCTGAGCAGAAGATGATGAGAGGTATATGTGGCGTCTGCAGTTCAGCAAGGCCACACACTGGTACGTGAGGGATTATGGGGGCGCTGGGCCTGGGCAAGGTCAAAAATTGGGGTGAGCGATTTTTACTTTTCTCCCACTATGGGCACAGTAGGGGCGTTCTGGTCCATTTGAGTTTGAGGTTCCTATAGGAGCTTAGTACCTCCCAGCCACAGTCACTGATGTCTAGACAAGCCCACATTTACCCCTAGCCCCTCACCTCAGCTCACCTTCAACCTCTGACAGCTTCACTAGCTGCGTAGTTTATGTCGTCCCGACTTAACACGATAGAAATATGTCTCCCTACTTTCTGGTTTCTCCCATGGACTCATGTTCAGGTTATCATTCAGTACTAAAGTACCATTTTTTCCCCATGCCATTGTGTTTGTGAGAGCCTGAAACAGCTTTCTATCCCTTTCATCATAAAGTCTAAATTTCCAGTCTAGAATCAAGACCCTCCACGACCAGGGACTGATGGTTGCCAAATCTTTCCCTGCTGTGGCAGTTACAGGACACACACAGGGACTTGAGGGTTGGGGTGGAGGGGGCAGCATTAGCCCCAGGAGTTCACATCTCCACGTAGACTTGAGTTTCCACACAGCTTGAGGTGCCGAGAGCGCACACCCTGTGCTTGGAGCACAGCGGCTATGCTGTGTGACCTGGACTAATTTGCTGAACTTCTCTGTGCCTCGGTTTCTCAGCTGTCAGTAGAGATAATAACAGAACCCAGTCTTAGGGTGGATGTGACGAATGAGTGAGGTGACAAATTCCAAGTACCCGAAAGAGTCTTGGTGCAAAGTTAGTCCTCAACTATGTATCTACCATGGCTGTGGGTGTAACATCATTATAATCATTCATTCTGTCTGCAGGGGTGAAGCCAGGCCTTGTGGGGGAGCTGCCATCTCAGACCACAAAGGATTAATGCTTTTAATTCTGATCAGGATTAATTTATCTTTTCCTTTCATTGCTTGTGGTTTCAGTGTCACAGCTAAGAATCCATCCATTGCTAAGTCAAGGTCATGCCTATTTATCCTATGCTTTCTTTCATATTTTTTATAGATTTAGCTCACATTAGGCCTTTGATCCATTCTTAGCAAATTAGTGTATGTATTGGCCAGCCAGTTAAAAAAATGTTTTACAGGCATTAATTCACCTCATTTTTACTTT